GACCTTTTTGACTGTTATGGTAAGTATGGCCACAGGTTATGTGTGACCTACTATTGAAAAATAAGTTTAGTTCAGGTTTTTATCTCAAAATTACTATTAGCATTTTATCTAACTGAGAAGATTTTGATAAGAGCATTTAACAAGCTGTAGATTATTTAAAATTGGCTTCACTTAGTTTTCAATTGCTTAATACAATGTAACTCGGAGTTGTTTATAGAAAAGAAAATGCAATTGTACATTCAGTATTTGTTGCATAAACAAATAAAAACTTGAATAATTGTAATTAAACACTCTCGTAAATAATTGCTTTTTTAAAAAATATGCAATCCTCACGTTTATTCACACCCTGTAAAAATGTCAGAAATAAATACTGTAAAAGTTATCAAGCATTGCGTTGTGATCATCTGGTAGTTTCTCAAAGCTTCTGGAAGGCATCTGGATGCCCAAAGCACATAAAAGGAATGGTTTCCTCCCACAGTCCAAAGACATACTGGTAGGTTAGCTTTTGGGAAAAGTGCTCCTGGAGTGAGTGTGTGTGCATGTTTATGTCAGTGTGTGCCCTGTGATAGACTGGTGTCCCACCCAGGGTGTACCCTGCCTTGTGCTTGTTGCTTGTAGAGATAGGCTCTGGTTCCCTGTGACACTGAAGTGGTTAGAAAATGGATGGATCAGGATATAATGTCTCCAGGACTACTCTTCAAATCTGATTGCATGCATCCGGTGTCTTTCACAAAATTACATGGCCATCAAAAAGAAAATAGCAACTTTTGGGCTCCAGGGTCATAGGACCAGGATGGTGTGATGGGGTGAAGACCAGGGGGGGTTTCTACAGGTGAACATACAGGTATATACAGGTGAACGTCAGAGATGGAGCTTTTTTTATCACAACCAATAATAACCAATCATCAATGAGCACATTCAGGATGGAGCACATATTCAGTAACTTCAGTTACTGTAGTGCTCTGCCAAAAATATTGGAGTTGTTTTAATTTGGATCCTAACAAGCCTCACTTCATATACACCTGATGTTTTTCCCTACTGACAAGTGAGACCCGATCAGATAAGTTGGTGGCTTCTCTCTGTGGGTGCTGAAGGTGATGGCACTGTTGTCCTCTGCTCTGGCAGTATTCTCGGTTCTTTTCATTCTCCCTGACCCGGGACGTCCAGCCTCCTGTCCCCCCCACCAGGTAGCTGTGAGGGACTCCTGCTTTGAGCTTGTCCATGAGTGGCAGCCCTTTGTCCAGGCGCAGAGCCACTGTGAGGGAGCAGGTGGGCACCTGGCTTTTGTGACACCGGCAGTGACAGAGACAGCTCTGCGGCAGCACCTGCTGCCCAACAGCAGTTGGTGGATTGGACTAGCAGGCACAGCTTCCAGTGGGAACAACACAGGAAGGCACAGAGACTCAAGGCTCAAAGTTTTAGCCTTGGCGCATACGCAAAGACGATAACAAAGAGGTTCTTGTGGGGAGCTGCATCGGCGTGTGTTAGCTGCAAAGATCAAGGCAAAAAAACCTGAAAAGGTAACAGAAAAAACAACATTTCAGCGGTTGAGCCTTCTTCACCTGTCACACAAGAAAAGAGCTCAAGAACCGAAACGTTGTCTTTTCTTTCTTTCGTCTTTTCACCATGGAGCTGAGCACATTATTAAATGTAACATGTAAAATGAATAAATAATTTCTTCTTCAATCTGTGCTCGACATCTCATTCGCATTCTTTTCGCATATATTGACAGAGTCTTCCCCCTCGCCTCCGAGGCTCAGCTTAGTTAATTTGGCCATCTTACAGCCAAATGGATTGGGCCATAACTTATATTCTTATATATTGAATAAGTCATATTGCAATAGTCAGTCTCCTTTGGTAAATGTCATGTACCTAATTTAAGTTAACAAATATCCGCTTAATGAATTCCAAAGCTCCCCAAATGCAAAAAAAATGCTCTGAAAGCTTCCATCTACCGTTAAAACTAACAGGAGTGTAAGTGGTAAATTTGTTTTGTAGTCTGATGGCATTATTAAGGCCTTTTAACGTAACTTTGTTACTCTGGTTGACCTGTTAAGCAATATAGGTTTTTCCTTTAAATGGTGAATCAGAATATGTACCTAAGTGCAAGCCTTTTACACTATCAGATGCCCGATCCTGATGTCTTAATCTGGCGAAAGCTTTGACCCATTCGACGTGCTGTAAATCTGTCTTCTCACAGCAGGCCTTGTCTGTGACGGTATAGCATGCTGCCAGTTGAACGGAGGTGTTTTTCTGAACAGGGGACACGGGCGGACGCTCATTATAGCTCTCCTCCTACTTTCTGTCCAGCCAGCTCTTTGTGTCGTGGGCAATGCGGAGCCTTGTGGACGGCCACCTGTGGATTTCCGTGGGGACTCGGCCGGCTCGCAGCTCCTTCTCACGGGCACAGCGCCTGTCCTGCTGCCTCTCCCTGCTGCTCTGCTCCATGCTTTGCAACATCACGTACTGGAGCGCACAGTCAGAGGGCCCCAGCCTGTCGGAGGACCTCGGTGCGGAGAAAAGCTGCTGTCCACATCTTTTAGCCTCTTTCCGAGATAACAGTGCTTTGTTCAGATGTGTGACTCATCACTACAGCTGTGTCTGTGTCGAACAGCACAACTTGTTTTGTTGTAAGTTCACAAAATGAGACCAATAGGAAGGGTCAGAATACTTTTCACTTGTCATTGTAAGTATAGGATATCATACTATACATAAGTAGTAGTTACGTATGGTAACTACAATGTCGTTGTTCTATGTAATTTTTTTTTTAATCTTGCCAATGTGGTAATTTCAGTATGTGTTATCCAAGCAATGAAGTGTAGGCCCAAAATGAGCTTTTGTGTGTTTTCCTTGTGTTGCAGGTGTGTATTCCTTCTCCTGGCAGGATGTGATGGTGGGCATCCAGTCTTCTCTCACCATGTTCACTATCAACCTGCTCATTGTCCGGCTCTTCAGATTGTCTCGCCCATGCCCATCCCCACCAAAGTCCAGGCATGTGCCCGCCAAAAACAGGCCCCATCCCTATCACACCAGTGCCCATCTGCCTTCACTGCCCTGCCACCCCCAAACCGAAGGGCTGTGAGCTCTCCCTCTCCTCTCTCGCTTACACATATGATCGAGGAACATTGCACAAGATTCAGAACTGCCCTTATTTACTTATGCATAGCAAAGATTAGGGTTCAAGTAGAATCCTGACATATGGATATCTGTATCTGCCTGAATGCTTTGCGTTTGAATGTCAATGAATTGAAAATGAGAATGTGCTCTCTTCTCTCTCAGCACTTGCAATATCTCGCCCAGCTGTGTGGACAAGGCAGAGACTGGGATGGATGTTCAAGCCCTGGCAGTGCAAACTCTGATGTTCATGCCTTTTTCTCCCTCCTCTGCTCTCCACAGCAGCAGCCACTTTTATCTGCTGGCGAGTAAAGGGGTTGCCTGTTGGAGCTGTGGGGAGGGGGGCAGGTAAGGTGGGCTGGTGTGATCTTTCCGAACTCCTGTTCTCTCGGTTAGGCCTTGGGAAAACACCGGGGAGAGCTGACAAATATGCTTCTCTCAGTTATTGTGTAGTGTTACAATGAGGACACTCCGAACGTCTGATATTTCCTAAAGACATATAGGTTTTATTCAACACGCAGCAAAGTGTGAGACCGGAAGAGGGCCACTGAAGACTATCAGACTGTGCTTTCAATTGCCGACCTCCTCATATTTCAGAGCCGTGCTTTATCCTAGCTCTAAAAAGCTCTGATGATTTAAGCTGCTTCTAGATGTTCAGATTCTTTCATTGGTTTTAATTAGTTGCTGGACTTTAATAGTGTGATTTATTGTTTTAAGATCAGTTTTTTGGGGGTTTCAATTTGCTGTTTCACTTATGATGAACACAATTGGAACTAAACTAAACAGGGCCTTCTCCTGCTATGCCCCCAAGCTCTGGAACTCTTTACCCAAGGATATTAGAGAGTCACCTTCTCTAAACTCCTTCAAATCTAGACTCAAAACCTTCTTCTTCAGAAAAGCCTTTACTTAACTTGTTCCATTCTTCACCCCTCTGCTCTTCTTAATACCACCTTCCACGGTCTCCTCTATTGTTATTGTTGTATTGTTGTAATTATAATTGTGTCCTATCTTGTGAAATCTTCTTAATTATTGTTGTAGTCTTCTTATTTATTGTTATTGTCATCCTGTAAAGCGCTTTGAGAAGCCACCTTTAAAGGTGCTATATAAAATAAAGTTTATTATTATTATTATTATTATTATTATAAACTTTATTAAATTAGTCATCAGTATCTGTATATAGGTGTAGCCTGCCCTCTGGTGGCTGGTATAATTATCGGAGCTATGAGAGGGCTGTTTTATCTTTTTTCAGAACATGAAAGGTTTCGCTATGGTTAAATAGTCCACAAGTGTTGAAAGAACAGAAGATTTTCTTCCTATAAGACACCAGCTTTTAAACTGTAAAATATCTGGATTTTAAAAATCTAGCTTACATCTTTGGCACAGCCTTTTAACCTTTCAGAAGAGTGAAATTCTTCAGAAACAGATCAGGCCTCTACATATTAATATTTGAAATATATTTATTATACCACTTTTAACCAAGAAAAAAAATATTTTAAAGTTGTCAGTTAACAGTAAAATATATTTTCACTACATGGAGTCATACCTAACCTTCATAAGCACTACAATAATTCAAAAAGGAAAACAAATTACATTAAGATGGTTATAATTACAACAGCAGGAGTGTGCTTTTAAATCCCAAGACCATAAGACAAGTGGAAGACTGGATGTAAAACAGATGAGCCAAGAGTGAATGAAAAGTTACACGTAGCAAGAAATGACTGAATTTGCTTTAGCCCTATGATGAATTGGGAAATCAGAAGCATAACAGGACATGTGAACCAGTCTATCACTTATATTGGAGCCTTAGTAAATGTTTCAGGCTTTTAAGGAAAGAGGAATTTGTTTTTTACATCACCTTGCAATGCCAGAATCGTGTTGACCTCAGATAAAAAGAAAAATTCATATCCTTTAATTCAATTGGAATAACAAGTTAACAAAAATTCTGAAATAAAATAAATACATCAGTAAGCAAAACACAACATAACCTGCACAATAACAGAAACCATCAGCACCTCTTCCATGTATGTTTACTGACCTCATACTACACAGTAAAGGCCACTGTTAAAGGAAAATTACTAAGGCAATATAAAGCAGATATATAAACATACACATTAGACAAAGCTAAATCAGATTTATTTTAAACACAAAATTAATCCTTTTTTACCCCCTATATGTTGAGTTTTGTGAGGTTTGACTACAAAATTCTGAGTTGTCTATGGTATTAGCTGAAACTGAAAAATCCTAATATCAAATATCTGCTTTTCTCCGGTAGTTGATTTTTTTTTTTATTTTAAAAAACAAAGCAAGATGCTTAAAAATAAGACAAAAGATCATGTGTGTTTCTGCACTTAAAGGATACTCAGACCCTGGGAGTTCAGGTGAAAACAAAATCAATTATAACTGCCATTTTGAGCTGAATGATTTTCAGACCAAATTAAAAATACATGTTCAGCTAAATACCTTTCTATGCTTGATTATATACATAATGAATCAGGAATTAACACCCCGCATTTCATTTGATTATAATCCCACTCCCATAATGTCTTTTCTGCAGCACTGGTTTTATTTAGGAGTTTTGAATTTCGTTCAGGTAAAGACGAGGATCACAAACCTGGCTTTGCCAAAGCTTGTCTTTAAATGGCTCTTTGAGCCTGATATAGTATCACCATTCATTTTGGCATTGCAGATGAGTAAAAACAACTTGAAATGTCTGTCACTGATTTTCAAACCAGAATAGCAGAGATGAGCAATAACTTCTTTAATTTAAGAGCTCCACATTCTCTGAATTTTTTTATGAGCTATCTGAACAGTTTTTGGAAAGGTCACAGCTCCATATTTGAAGGGTTTCAGAAAAACTAGCGCTCAAGGCCTGTTTCTTGTTATTTTGTCAACACATACCGTAGCTTGTTAAACTATGCTGTGCCTTGTGCTGCCCTGCCACCCTTTCTTTAGGCAAAAGCCACATCATTACATGCAATCTTTGCGAAAACTGTCAGAGATAAAATCTGTCCTGCCCAGCATCTCATCACATCCACTGCCTTTCACAGCAGAGAGAAATGCAAAACATAATGGCATTTTTGTTACAATAAACTAAAGACCAAAACAAGATACCACGTTAAAAAAAGTGTGCATAACATATACTTTAAAAACGTATCTAATGGCGCTCTTAACCTTTGAAATCCATTAGTGCATTCTCTGTTCGAAGGGTTTCCGAACCAGGGTTGAGATGAAACAGGAGAGGTGAAGGAGTTATTGCGCTGCTCAGACAGCAGGGTTTGCTTTATATTCCTAGTAGTGTCAACACACAATCAAGGTTTCATCACATGCTGTGATCTTCTAACAAAACACAACAGGTGGTACAACTTGTTAAACAGAACACCAAATGCTATCGAAAAAGAGATTAATCCAAAGTACTTAGAAAAAGGCTTCTTGTGAGATATCAGTTTAGACGCAGCTTTGAGTTCTGACTAAACACTGGTAATAATAAAGTTTACAAGGTTTTTTCCCCATTATGCATTCCTTTATCTATAAAATCAATGGAGTATTCATTCCCAGAGTAATCGTGCCTTCAAATATTACTTCCCTACCAGTCAGAATTTTGTTTTTTAATAAGATGAAATAATATTGGGATCTGTAACAAACAGTAGAGGTATCAAAGATTTGCCGCAAGACCATTTGTGTCCTATTCTCCAGGGGTTTAGCTTTTCCTGTTAACTGTAGTGAAAGAAGAGCACAGGCAGGGAGCCCTGTGGCGTTTAGGTTTTCTTCTTGAGCTCCTCAAAGCGGCGCGACAGGTCATCAAAGTCGATGTCGTCAGAGGGGGCTGCATTTCCACCAATAGATGAGGCAGGAAGTGTGTCAGGTACAGAGGGGAGTTCTGGGAGGCCTGAGTTGTCGTACATCTTATTGGAGGGCCCTAAAGAGGAAGAGAGTCCTTACAGAAATGGTACATCTCACTTGAAATCATAATTTAACACTTCCTATAAACAAATGCTGATCGACTGTTTCCACAGTTTCACCAGCAGCCGCTAAAATGTGAGGGAAAAAAAAAAATCCGACTGCTTCTGTGCCAACGAATAAATAAGGGTTTCGCCAATGCTGCCCCTCTTCATACTTGCACTCCAGCATGTATTTCACTAGAGCCAACATCAAAGAATTGAATGCTTTGTGAATGTTTGGAATACTTGGCAAGAAACGTTTGGCTTAACCCACTTGAGGGCCATAGGAAGAGGGGGCTCAATCCCCATTCAGAGAGCCATGGGCAGCTGCATGGTGGAGCTAGGGCAGAGGAGGGATGTCTGAGATTGACGACAGGTAAACATAGCTCATTTTTAAAGACTGACTTGACGTTGTTATCCCTCCCGAAATTCAGCTGATAACTTCCATTTAACCACTTCAGCAGTTTAGAAGGCACTACGAGTCTACAAGTTAAACTTACCAGTAACCTGTGGAGCAGGATCAGATATTGCTTTAAAACCAAGTTCCTCGATCTAGGAAAGACAAACACAGATCAGCGTGTATGTGGAGATAAGACTGCCACATTCTTCTCACCCCGTTCTAATGCAGTGAACATTCCAATGCATGCCTTTGTAAAAAGCACAGCAATAACTGAGGAGTACTCTTCTACAGACAGGCACTAGACTGTCAGATGGAAGTCTATAAAAAACTGGTTCAATTAATGTGGTTATATTTATATAGTTATATGGAATGAACCAAATATATATACATAAACATTAACCTTCATGGGTTATTAAACCTTTGTTGGATTACTCTGTGTAGAGCAGTCAATTTGCAGGCCAACCAAACACAGTAATATGCGATTGTGAATTTTTTGCACTGTCTGTAGACAATTTACCACAATACTACAAAAAGTTTCATGATTGCGGGTTGAAATTATAAAGTGAAAACACAGAACATGAGATCGGATTGCTATACATAACAAGGGGTTAGTGCGTTTCAGAAAAAAAGACAATTATTCTAACATGCCGGGCTCCTCGGGGGGGTGGCATGTTGTGACACAAAGGCACAGAGCTGGCTAGCGATGTTATTGAGCGCAAAGCAGTCATGGAAGCAATAAAAAACTATTCTTCCCTGGGAATTGAGCTGGCCGGTTGTCTGTCGGTCAGGCTGAAGGAGGGAGAAGGGTGGCACACTTACAGACTCATAGGTTGGGGGGCAGCTAGGCAACTGTGGAGGCTGCCCACCTCTCCCTGGGGGCTGGAAGTTGTTAAAGGCATCGTAGGTGCCAACTGGAGGGCCACTGAAAGTCTCCTGCACACAAAGCGTGAAACATGAAAACAGGAAAAGCAGCTAGCTGGTAACATTTTCAATCGGTCAAGGGAAGAACGAGTTAGGGGTCTTTTCCTTGTGGTTCCACGTTTCTACTACCCTACATGACAAAGACCCCCTAGCTTAAGGAACTACATTTGAAGGACTTCCAGCATTTCATTAATTTGGTTCTTACTGTACTTCTAAGCAAAGAAAATAGCGTTCTTACTGGTCCTTTGGGCGGAGGGTAGTTGAAGGGAACATGAGGTGAAGGCATGGGCATGGGCATTGGCATTGGCATGGGCACTGTCCCGGCAGGAGCCATGAAGCCACCGCCGCCGCCGCCACCTCCACCCCCGGGCTTCTTGTTATCGTTGCCCATTTCGATAAGGTCGGCTTCCTCTCCCGGGCAGACCTCTGGCTGTAGGGGAAGCAGGGTACCACAGCACGTCACAGTCTGCACACCCACGGACCCCCCTCGCACCAGTAGACTTAAGAACAGCTTCCACGCTACGGCAGGGCACATCCTTAACAGCTAACTGTGCGCCTCTGCGCTCTGCACTTGGACTACCATGTTATTTTCACTACCACATATTTATTGTTCTCTACCACATAACTATTATTCTGGTTGTTACAACAGATGTATTGTTCTGGTTTATTATGCACCGTTCTGTATCGTGCTGTCTACACTGTGTGGTGTTGTCTGTTGTACTGTGTATGTCCTGGGAGATTGGCGCAAATAAGAACTCTAATGTACATGTGGCAATGAATTCCTGTACTCCATTCTACTCTATTCTCTCAGCTTCACTTCAATACGGTTAAACACCCCAGCTCAAAAGATTCTTACTGTTCTTGAGTTTCTGAGAAGTATACATGAGACTAAATAACTGCCCCTCTTCTCACCTGTACGCCTTATACCCCGACATATACAAATGACCTAATATACCTGCAATATGGAGTCCTGTTAGTCAATCTGAACTAATACAAGACAAACTGCAATCGATAAGGACAGGCCGAAATGTAGTCTTTCCATTCTGCTGCAGCCCACACAGCAGCCTGATCACGGCTCCGCACAGGCAGAAAAACCTTGGGAAACGTAGGAAAAAGGCTACCTGCTACACAGGTAGGTAGAGAAAACCCTGGCCTCTCACCCGCACAATGGCATCGGGCTCATACGGCACATTGTAATTCTTGGCGATTTCGATGAGGTAGCGTTCGACCAAGATCTTAGGGGGGGCCTCCACACTAAGTTTGTGCATCAGCTGCAGGAGGTAAAGCAAAAATGAGTTTAATCAGTTTGGCTTCCAGGGTTTTAGGATATGAAGAACAAAGAAAAAATACTATAACATTAAATACTAAGCACTATTAAATGTAGAACCATTCTGTTCTGGGCAGAAATAAACAAGCCAGGAAGCAACAGGGCAGAGCAAAAGCATCTCAATTAACCTCTGAATATTCCACTCTTAAGACTGTTTTATAGTACAGGTATCTAAATATAAAAACTGTAAAATGATGAGTAAAAAAAACAGAAATGTGGCATTCAGATGGGCCTACCCTGTCATTGACCGTTCCAATTTGGTTCGTCCTGCACAGCTTGCCATATTCCTTACTGTATTTGGCACATAGCTGATCTGAGACCTGTATAAAGAGCAGATAGAATTAGCTGACTCCTCTCTCCCTTTTAGCTCACTGTGGGGGGGAAAAAAAGAATTCAATTATAACTGATACTCCTGCATCTTCAAAAATTCCTTCAGAAGCGCTTCATTCCTTTTACAGTGTAGACAACAGATGCCGCACTTGGAAGGATTCTTACGTAGAATTAATTTTGAACAATATAATTTATCATCTTTCAACAATAACACAATGCAATAATACATACCCACTTTAGGTCATTTTTATATAGTGTGAAAGTCAGAATACCCTTCTTTGCACTGAATCACATTCAAGAATAGGTGATACACGCGGTTCCGGCTTTACGGAATATCTGTTTCGAAACACTAAGGCGGTGCTACTCACCATCTTGAGCTCGGTCACTTCTGACTGCAGACGGGGGGCTGCCCAGATGAGTGTGGACACTGCCTCCTGCAGGCCCGGATCCAGCTCCCTGCGAACAACATGACAGCTGAATGAGGCCCAGGAGAAGAATTAATTCAGAAGTTCATTCCTGCACTGCAACTTCACACACAAGTAGTGCTCTCTTGCCCCCTGTAAATTTCATTTCTTCCTGAAAAATGTTTTGCCCAATTGTTAAAAAGCTGAAAACAAAATTCAAAAAGAACATGGAAGTGCACGTTTCTATCTATTGTTGAGTTTTACGTTCTGAAAGAGGTGGCAGATTTAAAGTGTGCAGAATAAGCACAGGAACAATGATGGTATGAGATAAAGATTACACTCGTGACCCTTCAACCCGTCACCTCTGCTCCTGCATCCCTAAGGATTATGGGGTAAATGGGAGGAGAGGGCGGCCCCTCACTTCATGGACTGGATGAGGCCGAAGCGGGCCAGCAGCAGGTCACAGTACAGCTCCAGGATCTCCATGGCCTCCACAAGGTAGTCCTCCCGGATGATGTGCTCCACTCGGATCCTCGCTCGTTCGTCCTTCCCCGATGACAGGTAATCAGCGATCTCCTTCCGGGCCTTCTGAGCGAGCTCCGCTGCAGACGGACATCCCAGACAAAGACTGCATTAGGTCTGCTGTTAAGATCTTCATATTTGTTTTTCCTGCGGTTTTTTTTTTTACTTGTACACACACACACATATCTTTACTAGAAGAAATTTGGTGCTGAACAAAATAATGCTAAATTGTCTCTCAGTAGGACTTGTAATTTGCCATTTATACCTTCTTGTAACTATATTAAAGATACAGCAGAAAACGGCAAAGTGCCCATCCGCTTACTTTAACAGAGAGTAGGAAATTGCCAGTAAACTATATGGAAATTAAAATAAGATCCACCAATTTACAGAATTAATTGTAAAATAATGTTTTTGAAGAGAGGTTAGGTGTGTTGGGTATTTTTGCCAAGAAAAAATGGACAAGCCTATTTACATGTACACATTTCCTGTCCAAGTCAAGTGTATTCCTGATTCAGCATGTATGAACCTCTGATATCACATCATCTCCTTTATCTTACAGTCGGATTTTAAAACAGGCTGGGCAGAAACGACGAGCGGAGAGACAGCACTCACTTTTCTTCTTCTCCAAGAGCTTCAGGCGGTTGATGACCAGTCGGAGATTGACACGAAGCCTCTCTGCTTTAAATCCACCGCCAAGCATGATGGCAGCTTCTTGTGAGCAGAGGAGGAGTTGGCGCTTAGTTTTCACAGACAACCTGTCCGCGGTACCCCTGCGGTCTGGTACACACTGAGGTCCTGAAGCAAAAAGCAGGTGAAATACAGACCACCTGCCATTCTGCATAACTCACCAGCATCAGCTTTACTAAGCTCCAAGATGCCTAAACTCAAAAGCTACATTTTACAATACCATGCAAATAACATACAATATACTTTATTGTCTGATTTTTCTGAATTTTTTTGTGTCCAAGTAGCTATGTTTAATACACAGATAGACAAAAAAAAATGAACAGCACATAATGATCACATTAAAAATAAATACAACATTACATAAATTACATCAATCCATACAGTCATTACTCAGCACTGTTACAGGAATTTACATTACCAGAATGTTAAATGAATTAAGCTACTGAATGAAATTAAGTATCTGCCTCATGGAAATGCAATTGCTGTACTATAATTCAACTGGACTATAATGCAACACTTTATACACGGTCAAAGGAAAAATATCACATTCCAATTTGTCTTGAAAACCTTCCTTGGGACTGCAGGAAGGCTTTGCACTTCATTACATACCAATGAATGAAGTGCTAAAAAAATGGAAATGGAAATTTAACGCATTGTTCTTTTAAAACTGTGTTGGGTTTAAATATGAAGATAATCCAAATGACAATGCTTTTCATTTAGGAGGTAGGACGTAAGCTAATACTTTCGAAATTGCGTCACCCTGATCATATGCTCAAAACCCATGACATCAGCACAGTTTATAATGGAAGAGGCCAGGTCACACTACTGAATTGAGCGGACATTTCACACTGATCCCATGTCAATACACACCGCACACAGGCCCCACTTGAAATAAACTGGCCAGTCACAATTGTTGAAACGCATTTAAATACTGTACCGTGCTGCCTTGAAAACAAGAAGTACTAGTATTAGATTAAATATTAGTATTAGAGTATCATTGTTCGACCTGCTATCCTTTTCTTTCAAGCATCTTGTTAAATGTGGATTCTAATATGCCTATTACCCGATTATATGAAACAGAAATTCAAATAATTGTATTCGTGTTTTGTTTAACAGGAGGAATAACGTTAACAAAGCGACCGATAGACCGAAGTCCTTTACTATCATTTACTATCAAGCCATTAGCTACTGTTTACAGCAGCAACTATAGTGCCAATGACAAAATAATGAGATCAAGTAGAAAAACATATTTTGGGGGGGGGACCGGATCCGTCTTTACTTTATATTTTTTATGGACGAAATGAAATCGCTGTGAATAGACAGGACAAAGAAACCGATCTGATCCGCCAGTAACTTCGGCTCTTTTTGTTAGCTGCTTGGGCTGATCGGAATCTCAAACTCAAACTACTTAAAAACGAAATGATTGGTGCGGGGGGCCTTGCTCAGAAACGGACTTTGTTTTTGTTTTTTTAAACGAGGGTTAAACATTTCGAAACCATTATAATAAAAACGACGTGTGTGTGTGTATAGATATATAGACAATCCGCACCAGGAAGTAAATATCAATTTAACACACAGGGAGGAAGAAAAACGCACATCGAGACATTCTGGGATAGTGGTTCAATTCCTTCCCTCGACTGTTAACAAATTGCACTTTCGGTATCCTCAGTACGAAGAACACGAAAGTCTACTTTCACACCGAGCCAAAATGTTAGAAATAATTCCCTTACCTCCCGGATTGGGTCCAAAACTACGTTAAATGCAGGTCAGTGTTGAATGTGTTTATCTCCTTCCCTTCCGCAAAATGCGCTACGTAGCGTCTGACGTTCACACTGGAGGGCAGGGCCGCAGCGCTCCCAGATTAACTGGAGAGACTGGTCACCTCCCTCTCCTCATGGGTTGTACCGGCCTGATAGGTCGTGCTATAAATAGCAACGACAGTTTTATAGCTTTCTCCAATAACTAAGAACTGTACTAACTTTTAATCTACTTAACATAAACGGTGAAAGTTTTCAAAAAAATCAGGAGCCAAATTCACTGCGAGGTATTAACCGTTTTATAAGAGTATTTAATTCTATCATGTGAAAAGTAACCTGAAATAACCGTGTGGAAAATGTACAAATTCGACGCTAGGAGAGTTAAAAAAAATATAAGAAACTGTTTGGTGTCTCCCTTTTCATTGGCATTAGAAGACTCAGGGTTTGGCGTGCCTGTGTTGTAGCACCTAACATAATTGTGGCAGTAATTTGAATGGATTGACTGATATTCTGCTGGTGTTTTCAGCAGTGGTTTTTCTACTTATTTTTATAAGTTTTCCACTGATTCTAAAACCCTTTGGAATCCACTGGTGTCCACTAGAATAATGACGACAATGGCACCAAGCACAAAACAGCGTTACAATTTGTGTGATCAGTTTACACACGTTTTAATCACACCACAATTAAAACAAAACAAGACATCAATAAGATCAAACCCTTTAAATTATATTCTGTAGACTCCAAGGGTGTCAGTTGCAACGGAGCTCTGATGTACTTCCTGGGCCAATGATAGAATTAATTCTGTGTGGGACCCCAGGTGTGGAGTTTTTAAAGCACATTTGATATGACACAAAATGTCTCTAGTTTACCTGGTCTTGCTGTTGTTCTTCAGTTCTCTACTTCTCAGAAGAAAATGTCTACCTTACATAGGAAACATTTGCTCTGCACACAGCTACACACATGGACACAGCAAAGGCCAGCCTTGACTTTAAAGTCTCTTTATTGTGAGGATTCTCCAACACAGCAAACACTTCCACCTGCACCTTGCCACAGTGGAATATACAAACCAACTAGAATGAATCTTTACACCCTTTTCTTTTTGATTCTTAAAATAACCGAGGTTGTATTATAAAGGTTTTTTTTTCCAGATGTCCCTCAAGTTGATTCAAAACAAAGGAGAACATCTGCATCCGACTTCCAGAGTTCCGCTAACTAAATTGCAAGACATGTCAGTAGTATCTCCAACTGATCTTTAACAACTCTACAATCCATACACTGGATAATATTCATACAGTTGAGGGAACCTCAACTAAGAGGAATTCATTTAATAAATAAGCCTGGGATATCCAAGCCTAAGAGACTGTATGGTAAGAATAATAATATGGTGGCAATCAAGTCACAGAGGCAAAATCTCGATGGGCATAAAATTAAGTGCCAAAAAGTGAACCTCTTTATGCATCTAGATATCACAGACTAAAGCAGCATGGTTTGTGAAGGTATTAACTGCTTTATAAGTGAACAAAAAAGTCAACAGAGGGACAGGAGTTGACACACGGGAACAGGAGTATCTGATGCAGCCCGTTTCCGAAGGGGTTTTCAAACTCCTAGTTTCCACCAGCTTCAAAAGTGCGTGAAAGAGGTGCAGAGCCGACAGGAGCCTGAGTGCACCAGGTAGGTTTCAGAAAGCGAGAGTGCTGAAGGGTGGGAGCTCAGACAGGCCCCAGGTTGTGCTCCTCTTCCTTGCGGGCAGGCCGTCTCCTCTTGCGCGGCTCCTCTTCGCCAGTGTCCTGCTTGTCTTTCTCCGCCTCGATCCAGCTCTGCGGGGCGATCATCTTCTTGGGCCCATGGGGCGGGGGACCGAGCAAAGCCTCAATGTCATCGTAGTTCACCACCTCCCTCTCCAGCAGTGCGTTGGCGAGCTACGAACACACAGACCCACACACATGGATACGTGCCAAACTCACTTCACTCCCGTTGGATTGTGAATTAAGACGAAACAAAAACAAGAGAACAGAGGGAAGCCCTTACCATGATCAGTTTATCTCTGTTGTCAAGAAGCAGCTTCTCCGTCTTCCTGTATGCACGGGCTACTAGCATCTTGGCTTCCTACAAGACCAGAACACAACTATGGGGTGAGTTTTCTAGTTTTTTAATCAACTTAAGTTCCATTGTTAAGTCTCACAACTAACACCTTGCTTGGCTCTTCATGTGGAGTACTAAATGCTTATTAACTCTCTTAAAAAATGTAGAGTCCCAAAGAGTCTTAGACTGTTTATAAAAACATGCACCTTTTGACCCGTACTTTTAATATGGTAGGTCAAATAATAATTTAATTAGAAAAAGAAAGAAACACAGATGAAGAAATATCACAGCTGTATAATGGAGGTGCAGAGCACTCTGCCCCATACACACATGGTCCATCTGCTCCTGCAGACCCTGGCTGAAGGGTCTACGGCCGACAGCCCCCTCTTCCTCAGTCTCAGGGAAGGAGACCTGGCCCACACTGGGCACCATGCCATACTGCTTCACCATGGAGTAGGCCACCCGGGTCACCTTTCGTAGGTCATCCTGGGCACCTGGAAAACACACCAGAACCATCACGCACACAGCTCCCAGTACAGCAGTGCTGTACACAGACACATTGGGATTGGAGTTCATTCTAGGCCTTTTTCCCCCATTGTAGGTTCTCCAGAGCTCCAGCAATCAGCACAGGAAGCTGCTAAATTGCCGATCATCTTTCATTTTATTTCTCAGCACATTTTATCAGTGAATACTATTAGATGGGAAAAATGTCACAGTAATATGCTGGCGTCAGTGTGTTTGTGTGCGTAGCTGTTTACTGTACCTGTGGTGACCTTATTAAAGGTGATGGCCTCGGACACCCGTCCACCCAGCGCCATGCACATCCTCTCAGACAGCTGCTCCTTGGTGAAGAGAAACTGCTCACGGGGCAAGATCTGGGCAAACCCTAAAGCAGCATTGGTGCGGGGTGCGATGGACACCTGGCAGGGAACATCCAACAGCAGAACACACAGAGGTGAGTGACTTCTGATCTGCTTTTTCCTCTTTGTGAAAGAAGTAGAGACACGTGAAAGACCTACCACATGGTGACAGAGTAGGTTGTATAAGCAGCTGGTCTAACCAGCTACAGACCGATTAAATCAGAGTCTGTGCTCTCTTTCTAAGTGAATTTCCTGGTTTGGTTTAATTTAGACATGTAAGATGTACCATTTCTGCTACAGGAGAAGTAAATCTGTGGAAACGTACTTTGAGACTTCAGCATGGAATAGTGATTAGGACAATGGATGCTGTACTGAAGGTCTTTGGTTTCACATCCTAAATGAAACATTGCTGAGAATGCCCTTACTTATAAATGGGTTCTGTCTTGATAATTAATGTAACTGAGAATTTCTTTCTCAAGTGACACATGTGGTTATAGAACATAAAAACATGAAAAAACGCGAAGAGGCCACTGAGCCCATCTATGCTGTTTACTATATTCCAGTCATTTCAGAAAACAGATTCAGTGACATGGATGGTAAAGAGCTAGTTTTCCCACAACGCTCCCTCTGCCTCCTGTTCTTAGATTTAAAAGTGTTTGCACCCGTGAGCTTTGTTTCAAAGGCCACAGCATTAGGCTTGTGTTTTTAGCCAAGATGGTAGCATACTCACAAAGCCACCTCTTACCACATTAAAAAGGATCAAATAAAGAAAAAGTGCACAATTCACAGTAGGTGTTTCTTAATCTTGTGAATACTACGTATCAGAGCCGCACAAAGACAGAGAGAGAAAGAGGATGGTTACCTTCATGACAGCCTCTGTGTGCTCCAGCAGCCAGCCTACCAGGGCATGACCTGACTCATGGAAAGCTACAACCTTCTGCTCCTCTTTAGACAGGATCTTGCTCTTCTTAACACTTCCTAAATATAATACAGGCACAATCAAAGCCATCTGCTTTGAGAACTCTTCAGAGTATCAGGCTATGTGGCAGGTAGCTTGATTTCTGAAAGCACAGGCTCTGTGGTTTAACCAGTTTGGGACGATGTGGCTGGTTTATTCCAGATTGTTTTTAGCAGCCTGCTGTTGCATTTTAATTCCTGCCCTCCACAACCATCTCCAAACAATACAAATACAGCAAACGAGTCCATAAAATTGTGTTCAATGTTGGCTACAACTTCAAACTACATATCAAATAAACATACTTACTATAACTTACAAGTTTCATTCAATGAATGCCTAACTGGTGATTGTGAAGCATGTATACCAGGAAAATTAGTACAATGTTTAAGCTTTTTTAATGCATTCTCACCCGCGATGACTCTCTCCACTGCGTACTCGAAGCTGAAGGTGTCGATGGATTTGTAGCCCTCTCGTGCTGCATGCAGGGCTGCCTCGTTACAGATGTTTGCAATGTCAGCTCCTTGAGAACCAACCCAGAGCCATTAATATGCAAAACAGAAAAAAGGTTGAGTGCATTTTGCTTTACATTTCACACCATTTTCAAAATGATAAATTGCGCGCTAAGAAGTCAGCTCACATTTTTTGCAGTGCTTTTCAAAACTGACTGGCGACATGTACATGCCCTGCAGTTAGATTTAATGTTTGCAATGAGGCCTCAGCGCTGGACTGGCGCAGGCGTAAGTGTGGCTGAGTGCAAGGCGGTTTTTACCGCTGAATCCGGGAGTCAGCTCAGCTAATCGCTGCGAATAAAAGCTAGCTGGCTGTGTGAGCTTCAGGATCTTCAGATGCTGTTCAAAAATCTCTCTCCTCTCCTGAAACGAGGGACACATGAACACGGACAATTAAACAGGGATATGTTTACAAAGCACGGTGCAGAATCTCAGTTATAAAAACAGGTGTTCTGACACTGATCATTTTAATATTATATAGATATTTCTTAAATGTTTTTGACAGAATTGTAATTGATTATTCATGATTGACCATGAATGCTCAACTTGACTTTGACTGTTGCATAAGTACTAAATCACGCTATTTGAAGAGGCAGCTTAAACCGTTGAATGTCAAGCCTAGTGAAAATTAGGAAAAGTAACCAACAGACCTCTCTTATTAACCTAGCAATGCCTATGAGCCAACAGTATGTTGGAAGCTGGACTAGGTCAGTGTATTGTCACTATCCTTCTTGATGAGTTCACTAACTAACAGAATTACACATCAATTTGTCTTTTAGGTTTGAAGCGTAGGTAGAGTCACATAAGTCTTTTGTTCTTTGTCCTGTGATCCTATGGTAAAAAAAATATCTAACCTGGCAAGACAATACAATGTCAATGTTAGGTCATAATCTGGGACACCTTAGTTATAACTCCTTGCAAAGTCCTGCGGGAAAGTCCGAGTCTGATCTGGCCCAGAGTGACTGAGTGCAACATGACTGCATGATGCTACACTGATCAAGTCCTGGGACCTCACATGTGTTCTTTCCTTTTGGCTCATCCTGCCATGACACGAATCCAGCAGGACAAATCACAGCCTCGTGCTGCTTGTGTAACACTGGGTCTTTTGCGAGATGAGAATGGGACAGTTATTCCAGCGGTACCCTGTTTCCCTTTTTTTTTTTGCTGTGGAGTCTTTACTGGGGGTGAGGATGAGAGAGTGGGTGCAGGAATATGAAGCAAAAGGGTGGGTAAGGAGAGCAAAACTTAATTTGACACTGTCATGTCTGTTCGGTAAAATGTCCTTATACTGGCTAGAATAAAAGATTGTCCTTTTCTCCCGATAAGGTTTTGTAAGTTTTCTGCAAGTGGAAGTACTAAGTTTCTTCTGAGACTCTGTAATAACCGTGTGTTCATTGTCTGAAAACTGCTCTCTCGTACCTGTAATGTGGGGAGATCAATGAATATATGCCTGTCGAGCCGTCCTGGTCTCATGAGAGCATTATCTAAAATATCTGCTCGGTTTGTGGAGGCTAGAACAATCACATGGTCTGTGGTCCCCATTCCTGCATAAAAAACAACAAGAAAATTGTAATTCATGATTTTGGCATAAATATATGCTGAAAAAAGAATATCGGCATTGTTTTCTTACTTACAGCAGTCCCGATTTCTCAGAATGGTTATTAAATCTCAGCAACAAAATATATCAATTGAAGGTATTGCAACATTTTATATATATATTTGATAAATTCCAAATTAAGCAAGAAATTGTGAACTTTATTAAAGTACTGTATGGTTGCCATGTTGTCGCAAACTGCTGGTTTCGCCACGGGCGAGAGTGAGAATTTGCAAGAGTTGCGCCCCTTCCTGCTCACTAGTCACTGTAACAACTAATGACAATTCACCGCAGAAATGTTGCAATGTGACCTGTATGCAGAGTTAACAAATATATAGAACAATATTTCTATTGGATTAAAAGAGATGTATTCACAAGCCTGCCTGTTTACAATGTAATAGGGTCGCTTCATGTCACTGGAAGTTTTGTTGCCTCACTGAATCACAGTGTACCACTGTGCCTACCTGGAAATTTCATGATGTACAGTACATTGGAGGTTTTACTCATTACTGTGTATATTTTACTTTCATTGTGGTTTGAAATGCACTCATCAATGCTGATTTTTTCCCAACCCCAAAATATAAAACTAGCCTTGCAGTTCCCCTTTAAATGTTATTTTCTCTGATCTCTAACCAGCAGGGGCATGGGAAAGAGGAGTGTCCGTAAAGCGCCATTGCTGAGATAACTCACCATCCATCTCCACCAGCAGCTGGTTCAGGGTCTGCTCCTCCTCAGTATTGGAGAAGCCGGACATATTCGTGGAGCGTTTCTTGCCCACGGCGTCGATCTCGTCGATGTACACAATGCAGGGGGCGCGGGTGCGCGCCTCTTTGAATAAGCTTCGCACCCGGGCAGCTCCCAGTCCTGCAGGGACAACAAGAGCTGCTGGGACGCATTCCCAATGTCCTTCTGCAAGCTTAGCAAGTCATTGTCAAACACTGCCGCCGGGTCACCTGTAAACCTTCACTTCAGAGCCTGAGTATGGTACCTGGTAACTTGTCCATTCAAAATTATTGTATAACCAAAAGAAATGCCAAATATATTTGGAAACAGTCTCATTTTTTTTTTTTGTTTTGCTACCAATGACACTAAATAGTTATTTAACCTTCTGCAGGAAAGCAGTGTTCCAATTTGCATTCTAGAATGGGCAAAACAAAATCTCACCCCCGATGACCTCCACGAACTCCGACCCCGCGATGGCTAGGAAGGGCACCTGGGCCTCCGTGGCGACGGCCTTGGCCAGCAGAGTCTTGCCACAGCCTGGCGGCCCCAGCAGGAGGGAGCCTTTCGGCACCTTGGCCCCAAGCTGGAGGTACCGATCTGGGTTCTGTCAAGAAAAGCGCTTACTGTCGGGCCTCACAGCTGTCCCATGGGCTGTAATAATCCGGCCTTATTGCACTTGATTGTGTTTTCTTCATGGCTTTTACAGACTCTTTTTATTCTTAACCTTATTTATTTTATTCTTTTGTGTGTGATTTATCTTTATCTAGAAAACGTTGCCACTACAGGACAATTGTACAATAATACCTCATTTTAATTAAACCACTAGGAATAAAGCTCCTTCAACAACAAAATCATTCTTTAGAAAAACACAAAAGTGATTTGAATGAACAACACTTTGATGGACACTCTACTGTGTTTCTTTGCATTCATAGAATCAGATCAGTGAAGAGGTTTCTCACCTGTTCCTCCTACGTCTTCCATCACTGCTTATGACGTTTCCGATAACCAAGTGTTATCACAAAAAACGCACACTTTTTACCCAAGGTATTATTGTACTACATTTTATCATCTTCCTTTTTTAGCCCTGATTTAGCCATGCCTTAAGATATCAGTTCCTTACCTTGAGATAATCCACAAACTCCTTCACCTCCATCTTAGCCTCATGCATTCCTGCCACGTCTTTGAAACTGACGCCTTTACCAGACTTGCCATCTACAATTGTGAAGCGAGCCATCTTCAGCTGGTTCTGGTCATGAAGAATTACAAGCCAGAGTCAAAATCTCGGGAAAGTGATCCTTTTTTGCCCTGTGAAACTAAAAACGCTGAGGCAAAATTAAGTTACGTATTTCTGCTACCGGCAAACTCATTTTTACTCCGCTGTAGACTCATGTCTATAGGTGTACTCAGGACGTGGCCACTGCCCAGCAGTCATACTTACAAAGGCACTGAATCCACCTTCTCTTCCTGCCATCCCTGCCAGACGGAAAATGTACCAAAGAATCGCCACCCCTACGACCGCCATGCCGAGGGCGAACAGAGCACTACATCAAGAGAGAACAAGCATGAATCTACACAGCTTCCAACAGGAAACACACACTGGACATCTCCCCATCTATAACGTGATAAGATCTGTTACCCATTATTCTCAGTACTTTGAACTCATGCCTAATGAGTACAGCCCCTTGGATTTTCATTTTTGTAAAGTATTGAAGGGCAGCATTCCTTCTTCTGAACAAGCCAGGCCAACGATTTAGCTCCTTCCCTTCGGTATGGCCCTCTGTACTCACTTTCCAAAGAATCCTGTGCGCTTGTAGGAAACAGGGATCCTGTCCTTTGCGTCAATGTTGAGCTCCTCCTCTGCGGCTCGGAGCTTCTCCTCAAACTTGTCGATGTTGGCCACCTGCATCCGGTACATCAGGGCCAGTCTCTGAGAAGGCAGAGGCATCATCAGGACCAGAGCAGCTCAGACAGGTGCCGCACAGCACCCTGGCCATGTGCTTCCACACTTGTTAGCATGACAAACAGTGTCAGAAGAACTCCTTGAGCTTTCATCTCAAGGTGGCCTCCAAAACGTCTGTACAAATCATGCCACTTAATGGGATCTCTTCTTACAAACAATATGTGAGATCATCCATTCATCCATCTTCTAAACAATTCTTCCAAATCAGGGTTGCAAGGGGAGCCGGAGCCTATCCCAGCAATCAACAGGCACAAGGCCAGGTACGAACTGGACAGGGCGCCATCACAGGGCAGGCAGACACACACCCAATCACATCAGGGCCACTTTTCTCAATCACCTTCCAGCATGTCTTTGGTTTGTGGGAGGAAACTAGAGCTCCTGGAAGAATCCCACGAGAACAGGGGGGAGAACATTCAAACTCCACATAGATTGCACACCAGGAATTGAACCCAGGGTCCCAGTGCTGCATGGCAACAGTGTTAACCACTACGCCACCATACTGCCCCCTTGTGAGATGATGTGTGAGTTTATTCTAATTTGAATCAGCCCTTCAGTGATGGGGCATAATGGGCATGTTAAAAGTTAAATTCTGTAACAGTTCATACAACAATTCCCGCAGGTGTAAGAAAGCACTACCGCCCAGCCAGGAGCAGTGCAATCAGACTCTCGGAACAGCGGGAGCCCACCGGCCTGCCGAAGACGACGGCTCCGGGGTGCAAGTAGATCTCCACGATGTCGCTCTCCGGCACCACCTGCACCCTGGACACCTCCCCCTTGGCCAGCATCTCGTGCACGAAGTCGTTCCAGGAGATGTTGCCCCCGCTGCTGTTGATGGAGTTCAGCAGGCTCATGATGACAGCGATGATGAAGAGGGTGCGCAGGCGCTCCCGGTACATCTGGTCCTCGCGCTCCCGGCGCTTCTTCTCCTCTGCAAGAAACGGCACAGATATTCACCTTGCAGCCATTTCAAAATCCTGCACTTTTTATTGTGTGACATACGTGATCCAGGAATGAGTAAAATTCTGAATTTGGCTGAAGTGGCGGAGTTGGGCTAAACAGAACAATAGCCTTAACTCAGCCTGTCAGGCAGACAAAGTCAAAGAGGGACTTGTTTTCCTGTGGTCCTCAGGGGGAGGCAGGAAACTTTACCTTCGTCCTCCTCTGGGCTTTTCCCTTTGGCTCCATCATGCCTGTTTTTATCTTGTCTGAACTGGGAAGTGCTGAAATGACTTGTTGCTCCTGAAAATATCAAACATAAAAGCATCAGGAATCTTCTTCATGAGACAGCTGCGTCTTTTATTGACACGTTCAATATCACTTAGAATTTCTAGAAACAGTCACATTGAGGGTGAATCAGCCCAAATTCATCAAGTTCAGATTACGAGGGCGTATTATACTACAGCTTTTTTGGTACATTCACACGTTAACCAACTCCTTTGGCATTTTCAGCTTCCGGTAGCTACAAGTGGGAGAGCCAGTTTATTCTGGCAGTGGAGCAACAGCAAAGGAAGGAAGGGTTGTACAGGGTTAGTCTAAGGTCTGGCACCAAATTTAGAAACAGGAGATCTGAGTAAATTAAATCGATAAAATAAATCTGAAGTTAAAAATCTGGTCTTGACACCAGCTCGAATACCAGCAATTAAGAGTTGAATAGCCATGCCCCCTCACTGTTAGGAAAAGTGTGGCTCTTCTGTCTTCTGTGAATAAGTGTGTAGTAGAAAAATAATAGAATAGGCACAAGCATAAGACAAAAATATTTATTTGGCAATCTTTTATCCACAAGAAACAAACACTACAATTTATGTACTGAGTTCTCAGAGCACAGGCACTGTATCTTCTTTCACTTTCTTCAGCTTTTATCACTCTTAAGCACTGAAATGTGGACAAAAAACTCCATAAAAGTCAATAGGGCTGTTTTTAAACCGAAGCGTTTCCATAGGTGAGTCTAATAAAACAGGCACAAACTGCCTGCTGGATTTACAAAAGCTCATCGATATAGTTCCACTGATCTGAACTTCAGCTCTCTTCGATGCTCAGATACCTGGACAGTTTGGGCTGTTAAAGAACACTACCGTCTGCGTGAAAGGACCAGAACTTGCCCAGAATTATTCATCATCAGACTCTACTTTGTAAATCTCACTTGATACAGATTGCTACATTTGAATGCATTAACAGCATGAACATCCAACCCACTCACATCTCTCTAAATGAGTGCACAATTCAAAGGGATTTCTGACAAAAAAAAGAGTATTAGGCAGAGCAATTCAGACATATTCCACATTACAAGAGTACAGACAAGGAGACATGACTGACAGGAACAACCTTACCTAAAATATTCCAGAGTCCAACTGGGTTCTTCACTAAATGCTTTCTAAATAAGATTTTGGGTAACCCTTGCAGCCTTGGACTGAGAGGTCTGTGGAGGATATTCTGTAAAATTTAAAAAAGCACAAATAAGAGTGCATTGTCAAAACTTCATACATTCTTTCACCAGATCAGATTTAGCCAACACTGAAGCATTCGTTATTAATAACTTACAAAAAAATGCTGTACCTTTAAAATCCCTGTGTTGAGATGCCGAAGCTGTTCCTTGGAAAAAGACGACAGAAACTCTGAGCTCCTCTGGAGTTTACAGTTAACACAGGGGTTTTCATTCTTTATGATACTCATAACATTATGAGAAGACAAATGAAGTTTTCTGCTGTTTCGCAAAGTGGGGTTTTTGTACCGGGATGAAATACACCAAACTGAGCTACTCGTAATGCTTCTATAAGATTTAACATTCAACTGCAAGAGCGATGCAGCCATTTTTATTTCTTGAACGTTAAATAAATATCATAAGATCTTTTGTGATTCTTGATAAATCGCAGCATACGTCAGATCATAACATACAGGCAACGCTGTTATTCAACTACATTCTCTCCTTTTGTGAACTTTCACCTCTCTACGTTATATTTCAGTTCAAGTTTGAAAGCATGAAGTGTATTTTTAAATGTGATCCAGTTTCTTAAAAATTTGGTTTTCGCTCTTTTTATTTTGAAAGGTCTACTTAAAAATAGATATATATATTTTATAATAATCTTTAACCCTTGTGATGTCATCAGCACCGGACGTGTCGTTGAGATAAACAGAAAGGTTAAAGGTCATGTAGTCATTTTGTATGTAAATTTTGTCGCCATGTTCATGGAGAAATTGCGAGAGGAATTTTAACAGTTCCGAGTGTTTTTTAGAAACACCAGAAGCTCTTTTTATTATAAAGACCACACATTGCAATGGGGTTTTATTTTGAAGATAAATTTGTACAATTGTGTCTCCGTATTTTATAATGCCATATTGTCATCTGAGGTTAGCACTCCTTGAGGTTCCCGAATTTTCCTGTTTTTCTTTCATGATTTAAACCTCAGATACCTCGCAATGCGGGGAAAACTGTAAAAAAATACTTTCATTTTGTTTCATTTCAATCTTTTGTATGGGAGTCGCAAAGGCTTTTAAGTGCAATTGATTGGTAATACACTGTTTAAATTGCTGAGATCTCATCGAAAGTGTTCAACAACAAAAAACGATGATGGTGAGAAATCTATTATTCAACAAGAGTTCCGAAACACACAAATCTAAAAAGATTTTATACAGGTTTAATACTATTCTGCCATATGTTTATTGGTGTAAATAACTCTTTTTGTCCCTTCTGAGCGTGTGCATCTTCACGTTATTTACCAACAGGCTTTACAGAGAAATTTCGGAGGAATATTGCCGTCCCTGCATACAATTTAGGTGTTAACACGAGTTTCAACAAGTGCGTGTTTATATAATCTCTAAATTGCATTCAGCAGAAAAAATATAAAAGTAATATGTGCTGCTTCTACAGAAAAAGATGCAGTGGTTTATTTCCTATATATAGGCCTTAGTACAGCTGACGCGTCTGGCCGCAAGACTTGTGAGCAATCTGCATTACACGTGATTCAATAAATTATTACATAGTATCGTAAGAGTATTATTTATAGTAGCATGTTTCATATCTGAAAGGATAAAAAGTCTTCAATAAAACGTATAAACAAATCAAACAAATCCACTTTTTATACAAATAATTCTACACTTAAAAAATACAAGTGTTTATTTTCAACAAAAGTGTTAGGGAATACCAGACCTGTATTAATATATATTTTTCTAAAATAAACTCAAAATTCTTGGGAAGGCGTGAGTGTTTGCCTCTTATTAAAGCCTAAAAACAATTAAAACTACCTATATAAAATACATATATTCAGGGTAGCAATTTAATATTTTGCTTTTTATTTGCGCTTGTAACCGGTAGAGTGTGCTGTGTACAAAGGATATCTATACATCTAATACTCATATAATTTTTCGGATTTATAATTTTTAATGACCAACTGCAACAGAAAGGAAAACTTAAAAACGCAGCCGATTTTGATAACGGAAGAGAAACAAATACGTCACGTGTATTATTTCAATTTGCCATTGTTTATTAAAATAGTTCTAGACTCGGCATACAGAACACGCTCAAAAAGGAAAAAATACAGGAAAAGATGTATTTTGCAACAATATTTTTGTGGATTTGGAAGTGTAATTTTGTGGCAAAACTTAAAACAAATGCACATTATATTTTGAATTACAATATTAGAACCGTATCACCTCTGCTAATAGGTCCTTTGTGAAACGACAGGATAACGAAATACTTTGAAAAACGATTTACATGTCACCTTACAAAAAAGGGCAAATGATCAACCTTAGCCCTTTACTTTAATGACATTACTCAGGGACAGGAATTTCAACAATCAATGAAAGAAAAAAATGTGTTATACTGATAACAATTCTAAATCACTGAATCAAAACTGAGAGGTGCAATATATAATCAAATCAATTTCAAGCTAAAGAAAATTATTTTAAAATTATAATGTGCATAACTGCATAGTAACATGTCAGAAATGCGTCTGTCTCAATAAAGTTCTACCTAGACGAGTTTTGTTCAAAAGAAAACAATCTCTAACATAGAAAATATTTTGTAATTAAGCAATTCACACTTTGCACTGCACAGAAACGTTTTAATTTGGTAACGTTAGCAAAAAAATAGCTATCGGAACACTTTGTATCCATTGCAAAATTGTTCTTCAAAACAAATCGGTGTTTATCTCGTTATCCGTTTATGTTAGGATTGGGAAAGCACCCCCATTACCCCGCTATAAAAGCGAACAATTGACTAAAGATAAGCTTTTTAGCAGTCAAACGATAAGACGAAAGACGTTACAGATTAAAAATAATAATGAAAGGTTTGTTTAGATGTACGTCATACTGATGACACTGTGTAAAGATGGACCAATAAAAAAATAGAATCCACAGCTTTTTCGTCGAGCCAATCGTATTTTTCCTTTTATCCTTGTCTCCATAGTTCAGACTGCCCTGCGACGTTGGCCTCCTATTAAACGGATTTATCCCCCTCAATTTTTTTTGCTACCCTCCCCCTCAATTTAAAAGAATGGAATAAGATTATGAAACCATAATCCTCCCGCCGCCATTTTGGATCCTAAATTCGTTGGTGAACTACCAGACGCTGCTTCGTGGTGAGCCGGAATGGCGTCAGTTTCCAAAACACACACACAGGCCAGCAACCACCCACATTTCACAGCCTATCGGCTTCCGCGTTTCAAACCGCCTCATTCCTTGTTCGTCAGCAACGCAGTCGAAGTCAAAGGCCGCCTGGAAACCGTTCGTAAGGAGTCGAGTAGGGGGGATTGAAGATAAAGCTAAAAATTTAGAAAAACTGAACAAGCTTTCAATTTAAAGACAAACGTCACTTGTTCCGTAATGCATCGCTTGCAAAAATGAGGAGCGCCTAGACCTTTTATATGCGCGACGACAGGAGGCACGAATTTTTTTTTCCCTTCCGATCTGGGGTATTCAGGAATTAAGAGACAGTATTGGTGTGTATGATGTGTGTTGCTTTGTCGGATATTTCCGGACGGTAGTCTGTTGAGTAGCAAGGCCTCAAATGGGAAAACCAAGCCTAGGACTGGAGTATCGAGACTAAGCGAGGAGACGCCGTAAAGATTTTCGCGAAGGTAAACAATTCTTCTCCGTTTTCGCTTGTACCACAATACAGATTCTGGCTTTTGGTTTCTTTTAAACTGTGCTGTAGCATAATGATACCACACAGACCTTCAAAACGTAGCTTTCGTGTTTTTAGTTCACATTTATAAAAAAAAAATAAGCTGCTCTCCCAGGACGTGTGTAACCAGCTAGGTTGTTTATAAAACAATGTGATACATTTATTTATTGTTATCAAAACACGAGTAAAATGTTCATAATGACCAACTGCAGTTTTTTTAAGACTTTGTATTGATTCCTGCATTTGGCAAAACATTTTAGAAACATTTATCTGGTTGGTGGCTTGATGTGATATTGGAACACTTGTCCAAAAAATAAGATTTGAATTTGTTTTCCCCCTTCTTACATATATAAAGGATAAACTATTTTTAGAGATTTTTTTTAGCCAGGCTTAAAGTTATGTTTTGCAATTTAACTGTTGTTCAAATGCTTAGTGTGCAACTACCTACTTTGTAGGTTTAATAGCTATTTGTGTGAGTTTATATCCGAGTATTGTGCGAGCTTTTTTGTAATCCTGAATCTGAGAGGTAATTGTGAGAGGTTTGTAGCAAATATTTTTCCTTAGCGATTGATGATCACACATCGAATTGTCCTCTTTCTTTGGGTATTTTTGTACTCTTACATTTTAGGATGTGCGTGTGCATTTTGGTGCTTTAATTGGAAACTGGAGTTTTTTCTTCCCCTGAAAGTATAATGAAGTTCTGTATTACCACGTTGCGTATCGCTGGCTCAGTCCAGACTCAGGCAGTGATGAACGGTTTGCTTCACCCAAATTATAATTCTAAACCTCAAGTTTTTGTTTGGAGCAGCAAAATAAAAACTGGCATTTTGTCGTGTTGACTTAAGGTTGTTTATTGGGAGAAAAAAAAACAAAAGCATTCATAGCTATCTTACGGCGTTTTATGTTTACGTTTTTAATTGCATTTTTGCGAAATTAATTGCCTTCAAGAAGATTTTGGTCTGCAGATTAAGTTGATAATTTGTGGTTGCTGTTCTACTCCTTGATAATCTTTGAGCGAGGTTTTGAACTTGTCAGGGAATAAACCGTGGTTACATGGAGCCTTGCCATGATAAATTATTTAAAAAAAATGGGAAATATTCACATACAGTTGCCCTATTTATTTCCTTATTTTATATTATTTTATATAATATTTCCTTTATTCTAAGATGTTAAGTTTGATTTGGGACCTTACTTAATTGACCAACTTCTTTATAACCTGTGTGCCCCTTGTTGCACTGAAGGGGGAAATAGTTTCATGTGAAATTGAAATTTCCTTCACCTGACTTTAAAAACAAAAACTGCATTACGTTTTTTTTACGGTTCGTTTGAACAGAACCTTAATCTGTGGGTAAAGGAATTCCACATAGCTCCCTGCTAAGCCAGCCATGCGGTGATGCCATAAAATGTATAATTTAATAACCACTAGCCCAGAATGGAAAAGAGAGAGGAAACTGTCTGGTGTCTTGTTTTAGACCTGCCTGCATCTATAGGGAATTCCGAGGGGTGGAAGGCCATTGCATCCCGTGGAGCACAAAATGTCTGGTGTTGCATCATTCTCTTTTCGACAATAATTCTTAAAAAGGTTAGCGTGGAAAATAAAATAACTTATCTTGTTTGATTTTATTTTTACTAAAGAGCTGAGAAAAATACAAAACAATGTATGTAAACAAATGGCCCCCCTTCCCAAAACCTGTACAATCTTCAGTGCAGTGAAACCTGCTAAATGCAGAAAAATACTGCATTGTACATGTGGTAGAGTATTTGGGTGCTGAAAGAGAGGTTGAAGAGTTTGCAATAGCATTGGTGTGTGTTCAGATTGCGCCTCGTCTACATGAGAAATAGGAAATTGTAATAGTTCTCCTGCTCTTTGTTCAGTTTGTTATGCAATGTCTTCCTAACAGTTGAAGCTCTGAGTGCATATTATTAGACTTGAGAAAAACAAGGTGTTTTGGAGATGGCAGGCACTGTGACAGATCTTGAGCATTTATCCTGAAAACCTCTTTTGCTGTGCTCAAATATGTTTTTTTCTCCAAATACTTAATTTTTGCTTTTACCAGCTCATGAGAAAAATCCTGTATTTGGAGCTAATGATTTCCAAATACTTTGTTAAATAATAAAAAATGCTGCAAAGATGCTGCAGCAATTCTGTTTTTTTTTTTGCAAATTGAATCGTTACAAATTTCAATTTAAACTGTTTTGAAGGAATTCCCATATATAAAAAGAAATCTAGTGGGTGACTCTTTCAAGTCATGTGTTCATATAATGCATCTGATGTTTGGAATGTAGGTAGTGCTGTCGCACTACTAAGGAAAGTATATTTTATAGTGGTGGATATTTTCTAGTAAGGTGATGCTCATGCTTTACAGATCCATATTTGTGGAGGAATTTACAGGGTTGGTGGTTTGGTGGTGTTTCGCTTGTTATTGTCTCCTTTTCTTTTTACCAGTCATTTGGAATTTTATGGTAGTGGGGCCAAGAGGACCCAGAGCTGTTCTGTTGTATTGTAGCTTCTGGTAGTTGGGATCTGTAGAGCTGTAATGTAGCTTCCTTTAGCATTAAATTCTAAAGTGCCTTGAGAGGCAGGAAATGATCTGCTGCAAAGTTCAGAAGGTCAGCAGCCTTATGATTGGAGCTGGGCTTACGGGGGCTCGTTTCCTGTTGCAGCCGTTGTTTCAGGTCTTCCTGCGTGCTCTGTGTTCAGCTGGTTCTGAAAAATAAAGACCAGTTCATGGGCTGGTCCGTGTTCAGTTGTTGCAGGCCAAAATCTTGTGGCATTACAATACACAGACAAAGCAGCGTTATCCTAGAAAACGATCTTGATACTTCCACTCTTCCCTGATCACGGGCTGCTGCAATGGGCAAATGTATCCAGTGTTTGGGAGCTTAGGCACATACTGAGAATCCTAAGGATCTTTCAAGAGAATCACATCACTGCAGTATTACACTGGAGCTTCATTCTGCCTTTGGTGCTGCTTCTTAATGTAACAATTATTCACTCAATTGCCCTTGGCGGACCAATGCTTTACTCTGTTTTGAAGAAGGTGTTTAAATATATCTGCACTGGCTCTAGAGCATACTGAACATCTGGCTGCTTGCTTTTTTGGCTGAATAAGATTTGAAATAGGATGTTTTCTCAGATGCTACAACCACATCCTTTTGTTGTTGCACTATACTGAGGTCAATAAGTGAGAACTGAGGAGTGCAGTAAGCAGCACCCATGTGTGAACTGCCGAATAATGAGCATAGAACAATGCATTGGCAGTGTTCCACTTGCAATATCCTGTCTTTTCTGTAGAGCTTATCTGAGCCATTATCTTATATAATGTGTGTGACATCCTTAATATAAGGCTTCCTATTTTTTATGTAGTAGAGAAATCTCTGCTGTTCTTATTTGGAATTCAGTTGTTTTGATTTTGGAAATTACTACCCACTCTTATACTCAACTCCCACTAATCTTGGGCCCCACCATATTAATGAAGGCACAGATTAGAGTTTCCAGTTCACTGAACCCAGTAATATATTTTCTGTCATTTTAGATTTACACCTGATGTTCCAGTGAAATGAATACTTCATGACTGTGGTGCTCTGTACTCTTTAAAGATGGGTACACTGGTAATTTCATAAGCCCTTGTGTTATTGGAGTGGGTGTCCCCCCATGTTTTTCTTCTACTATTTAAAGTGTTACTGATCTTATTTTGGCGGCAGATGGTGGTTGCTCCTCAGTAATAGTCTGTGCTTGGTTGTTTTGGAGTCTCAAATTAATAATAAATTAAGTTAATGGCACAAATGTGTAGTATTTTAATGGTAAACATTCACAATTTTTAAGTGTACTGGGAGGAAGTATGCTTATAATTTCTTAGTCTTTTTAAAGTCTTCTATTTGACATTTCTGTTTAAAATCTAAAATATTAAAAGCTGCATATTTGTTTTGAACTATTTGTAAGACTGATGTGGACAAAATAACCATGAGAAGCACATCTGGGGCTACATGGAAATGAAAGAGCTAGTAAGAGCCGAATGGGAGAGTTCCTTTGAGGGAAGGATCACAGAGAATTGAAAAGCTGGTGACAACAGTTGGTGTTTTGATTGGCTGTCAAGGATTTTGTGACTTATTATCCACAAATTTTGCTGAGTCTATCCAGAGCTAGTCAGGATCCCAACTGGGCTCCTCTCTATTTCAGTAGCTGTGATAATCCTTTTGAAAAGGGCAAATAGACTGTGTTTTCACATCCTGGTACAATGTTGACAGAAAATGAGATTTACGCTCTTGGTAGACTTATTCCATAAAGAAGCAATAGTTTTCATAATACTTAGACCACAAGCAGTGTAGAAGTGTAATGCAGTGCAGTAAGCTTTTTTTTTCACTTCTTGTGGCCTGTGTTCATGGTAAATGCATTTTAAATATAATCAGTCAGCTCTTTGCTCCCTCACAACCTGAAATTATTCATGGTTATTCCGTGTTTAAATTGGTTCTGTAGAGACTTCAAACAGGGAAACTGTATTTTTCCGATCTTGCTGAAATGTCTGAATGCATTGGCTGAGGACCAAGCAATTGGCACCAAAGCTGTTTTTTTTTCTTAAATTGTAATTTGGAAACAGAATTACATGGGGGGGGGTTATTTTAGAGTGCGGCTGTTTGGACGTTTTCATCTTTTTGACGTTGGTCGGGTTTATCTTTTCCTTCTTCCTTGTTTGGATGAGGTGGGGGCAGGGACTCCTTGGCTGAATCACAATCCTTTGGAAACTTAACAGCAGTGTCCTATTGATGGGGCAGCTGGGTCCATTGAATCAGCTCTATTTACATTGAAATTCAGAGGCAGGAAGGGGGTGGGGAGCACTTTTCATGACTCAAAGGCATACCTTACGATTGTGAAGCACTTTTAACACTTGTCTAACACTTTTTTTTGTAGTGCTTATGCGTACCATGAAGAATGACAAACTAGTGCATGCTTTA